CTTTCCCCAGCAGTGTCTTGCTGCTCTCCAGAGTGACTGTTCTGGTCACATACAGAAGCCCTCCCAGAAGCCCAACAATGACTCCAGAACTTCCTGAGTAGTCCAGAAGAAGGGAGACCACGAAGTCCCCAGGTCGACCTCTGGGCTACTGTCCACGGGGTTTAGAAGTCCGCGGGGACTTTCTCTGTTGTAGGTAACAGAAACACAAAGTGTCCTAAGCAAACAAAGACAGAATTCTCTGGCTCTTTTGAAAGTTTTGGGAATGTGTGACCTCAGACACCCACCCCGCCAAATGCAGAATTCAAGCCGTGTCCTTACAAGGTCATCTCTTTCTCTCCCCTCCTGGGCTCCACCTCCTCTGATTTGGCCTCCTTTATAGGCGAAAGCCCCCCGAGAATAGAAAGCGTAATCCAACGAAGACTTCCGGTATGAAAACACTGCCTAATTTCTCTTCCTAGACAGGGTCTCATCATGGTCCTCCTGCCCGGCCTCCCAGCTGGAACTGTAGGAACACAGCGGCATGCCCAAATCTATACACAGGGTCTTGCCGTACTGCCCAGGCCAGCCTCAGGTTGTGATCCTCCTGCCTCTGCCTCCCTGAGTCACTGAATTACAGGTGCACGCCACCACACCCAGCCTTTAGATCGGACCAGGAATCGAACCTGGGCCTCCCATGTGGTCCCAACCTGCAGAATACAGCGTCTTACACCGCCACGGCTGGGCCTGCATGGCTGATTCTTAAAGGAGAGCCACCGAAAGGTGAAATTTATTATGTGAGTTAATAAATGTCCTATGGTTTATATACTTTGAGTTGGTCTTTCCTGAGTTACAGCCAGAAGCACACAACAATGGGAGAGGGGCATTTCCCCAGATGACTACTACCTGTCTGCCCCTCCCTGGGCAGTGTGACCCTGCAGCAGTGGCACCTGGAGCGGGGATCCCTACCCAGTTCTGCAGAGGTCCAGCCTTGGCACCCTGTCAGGTGTGGCGCAATCCCAGCAGGTGCTCAGGAGAGCTTTACTGAGCGACCTCACACCCTCAGGTCCACACAAGGACACTGGTGCTTGTCCAGGGGGTGGGTGGTCTCGCTGGTCAAGGTTTTACTCTAGGGTACAGGCATGGCCTGCTTTCCTCAAAGACAAGGCTGTCTTCCTCCTCCTCACGGGGGTCCCTTGAGACAGCACCTGCAGCCTGCAAGGAAGAACTGGGCTGATGAGGTGTAGACTGCCCCAACAAGCAGGGAAGGGGGTGTAGACCAGAGGGTCACCCCTGAGGAGGGGACACTTGAGCGCAGACTGACAATAAGAGCTAGGGTGGCACTCCAGGGAGGGTGTAGGAAGTTCAAAGGAAAGGCGGGACCGAGTGCCTGGAAGCCAGAGTAAGGCTGAGGTCGGAGGGCAACGCCTGGGGTCCTAGGACCGGTTGGGGGGGTGGGGGCTGATCTGCTGAGACCCCGCTGGTCTTGGATGGGGATTTTACTCTCAGCGCAGTGGGAAGACATCGGAGGGCTTCAGCAGATGTGGTGTGCTCTGATTTGAATTTTCAAAGCCATCCTGTCTGCTTGGAGAGGGAAGGATGAAAGCAGGGGTCCGGACATGGGATTCCTTCATGAATTTAGAGATCGTTTTACATTTTATAACCGACCCACAGAGTTTTGCACAAATCCCAAGTACACATTTGGATGTACTTTTACACAGGATCACGCCGGGACGGTTACGTCACCCGGATCCAGACACAGAGCCTTCCCAGGGCTCCAAGCCTCGCCCCTCTCGTCCTTTCCCAGCCGGACCCACGGTCGTGGCCACGCCTGTTCCTGACCAGGATACTCAGCCAGATCCAGAACTCCATGCAAACGAGCTCACGCACAGGGCACCTTTGGTGTCTGGCCTCTTCCCCTTAAAGCGCTTTTGAGACGCTTCCTTCCTGTGCACGAACCACAGTACTAGTTCATTCCAGGTAAAGGAGAGTCTGAGCTAAGTCCGCACTAGGTCCCCACAGCACTTTCAGCCTGCATTGATCCAAGTGCAACGCTGGCAGAAGCTGTGCTCATCTGTGGCCACCAGAGGGCAGTGCGGCTCCGCAGCTGCCCTGCGCCGCCTGCAGGTGCCACTTGTAGAGACACAAGCAATCATGGACGGCCCCCCAGGGAAGGATTCTGACAGCGGGTCCTCTGCCCGTGCGGCAGGGATGCTCTGACGGACTTGCAACACCACTGCCGGTGCGTGGGCGCAAGAGCTAGCGACATGGTGACCTCTGCAGCAAGGACAATGCTGGTCTCAGCGACACAATGTCTATACAGGAGGCCAAAGGACACAGTAGCGAGGGCAGCAGTCCCTGCGAGGAGACTAGGAGACGCACAT